AGAATATGTAATTAATCGGAGTTTCATTCTTTATTAAACCGGGGTTTTCCTACAGAAATTCATAAATAGTTTTATTTTGTTGAAACCGCAAACATAACTTTTTTCTTAATAATAACAATAGGTTGGAGCTTACACATATGTATGTTGATGTTGTCACCTAAAGAGGAGGGACCTATAGCTGTTTTTCATGGCAGAAATACACTCGAAGGTTTGCCATTGCCTGCCGAAGGGTGACCGCTGTTAAGAAGCCCCTTTTTTCAAAATTTTTTTTTTGCGATGTTGCTTTGACCAGGACTTGACCCCATGCCCTGTGGAGTGGTAGCGCGCACTGCCAACCACTACACCACAGCGGTCGAGAATATATACATTTTTGGAATACGTACTTATCTTTTTCAAATTGGAGCTAATCAATGTTCTTTGAAATAAACTACAGGCCATTTTCTTTGGCTGCATTCGTGTTTGAAGCTTGCGGCTTAAAACACTTAGACACCATCATCTACTGGGGGCTCGGGTTCCTCTTCTTCACTACTTTCAGTACTGCTGCTATTCAATAGGGTGGAAAATTGTTCCTTCCGTAATTTTAGTACGTTCTGGACATCGGTCACACACAAACAAATTTTCTCACCATTTGCCTTTGTTTTAGAATCGATCACGAAAATGAGAAAGGGACAATTAAAAGGCAACATTTTTCGGTAGGAACGAATACACCATTGGAAAATTGTGGAAATGTATCTTTGCAACTTGTTTTTTTTTTTGATACTTTGATAAATTTTTCAGCTATTTATTTATTAAAATATTTGTTATAAAAAAATACTCGAAGAAAAGAAATTCGCCCTAATAAGCAAATTGTACACTCTTTTATTGCAGAGTTGCTATTCAAACCAAGCACTCATTCTTTGAGTCGAGCACTTGATTGAGTGAATTATTCGCACTTTATGTTTGGAGATAAAATTATGCGAGTGTGTGCATATGTGAAAAGAAAACGAGTGACTTAATACGTATGTAGTTTGAATGCATGCCCGGTGGGTAAACGCACTAGTGTCTAACTGGTTTGGTACTAGATAATTTAGAACAGTGACTAGCATTAATTCTCTTTTGCATGCTAGCAGTTGGAGAATTCGAAATTGCATTGGCCTACGAAGTGTCGATTGGCATCCGCCGCATTCGTTTTTCGATAGTTCCGAACTAATCCCTAAATCGACAGACGAAAAAATTAACAAGATTTTTTTCAAACAGAGCCTCTTTGGTTTGCCATTGTAGAGATTTTAACTTATTTATTGTCAAAGAAATGGGTTTTTAATTTGAAATGAAATTTATTTGAATAATTGTAATAAATCGAACTCAAACTGAAAACTCGTTTGCATACCTTTGGCTGTAGCTGAGCGTGCAGAGGTGATTGCTGTTATTGGTTAGATTCCTGAAGGTCCCTGGCTCGAACGCCGACCGGCGCAATTTGTTAAAATGCCTAACTTTATCGATACTTCCGATCCAGTTCTAAATTCTACAGATGAAATCTAGTTCGTTCTTCATCCCTCTTTCTATAGTTCCGATCCGAACCAGTTCTAAATTCTTCACCTTAAATATAGATTTCTAATGAAAAGTTTTTGTATTCTTTGTGACTTATAACATTTCCTGCGACTATTTTGGACTTAGCAAATTTCTGTATCACTAAATATAAATGGTTAGAAATAAAATAGCTAATTCGATCTATTAGAAAATGCATTTGTAATTGTTCTTGTTTCTTACTTCAAAATAAAATTTTTTAGAACAAGTGGACTGAGCAACTTTTCACTCTCAACCAGCGATATGTAGTATTAACAAGTAATTTTTAATAAAATAAATTTAATAAAAATTTAAGAGTACCGTTAATTTCTTCATTATCAAATTATCGGAACTAAACCAAATTAGTATGGAACCAGCCTTGATGTACCACCTTTCCGATTATCGAAAACGGTTCATGTGGTCTAAAAAGTTATCCGGTAACTTACATAAAAAAAAATATTGATAAGCTTCTTCCTTCCTTCCTTTTATTGAAGTCTTTTAAAAAATAAAATAAAATATTTTTGTAAAAGTACCACATTTCACTGCGTTTTAACTGGAGGGTATCAAGTTACTATCGGACTGGTTCGATTTTTGTGATAGATAAAGATCTAGTACTGAATTAGATTCAGGGTTTCCCTGCAGGGTCATGCAGCTCTCTAGTACATACATGCATATATATATATTAGGGTGGGTCAATTAGTAGGTCAATTAAAAAAGTTGATTCATATCCTCGCGATTCTGGTACTATGGACCATAACAAACATTTTCGCCCAAGGAACCATACCTCTAAAATCATTTTCGAGCCTGCCAAAATTTTTTGGTAGATATTTTCAAAAATACCAAATAAACGACCTCTTAGATGCATTTCAAAGACAAAAAAATATTATTGAAAATGTGTATACGGGGGTTTTTTGTGTCAGAGAATCCATTTTTCGCATTAATTTTTAATTTAGATCGCCACCAGAGTGCGTTTTTGAACAATTTTTTGGATTTTTCACTTTTTTTGGGGGAAATTGACGAACTTATTGCTCAAATAGTCAAATCTTTGACTTTCTAATAATTCTTTCTAAATGAGTAAAGCTTTGGTTGAATTACTAAAGTTTTTCTTAAACCAATCTTTGGAAGAAGTTCAAAAACAGCATCAAAAATCTCATTATTATTATTCCGTTGAAAATTTTTAAAATATTATTATGCAGATTTTTTAAGCTTAAACTGTTTTGTCATATGGGGTGATCTTTGTATTTTCCAAAAATTATTAAAAAAAAAAACTTGATTTATTCCTAAAGCTACATTTTTGAGGTATTTTCAAATCGGTCCAGCGCACAGTGTAAGATTTGACCCATCTAGCTGCTTTTAATTCTGTAATTCGAAAACTATTGAAGATAGATTAATGAAATTTTGCACAGGGTACGTTATAAGATAGGCGAAGCTTTTTACAAAAAATTGGTAATTTATAGTTACTGTCACACCACCCTATTATATAACTGCAATTTTAAAAAATGCAAAAACTGAAATATTTAACTAATTACAAACGCTAAAATGCCTAAAATTTATATTTAGAATTTCCCTATAACAGGACTGACAAACTGACAGAAATGGACTTAAAAATAAATATATATTTTTTTTAAATTATGGGCGTGGAAAATATCGACAAAAAAGTCAAGTTGGGTCAACATAATTCCGTTATAAGTTCAATATTTCTTGCTCTATTTACAAAAATGGGATACCATTGGAAATGTAATGAATCAGGCTTTTTCTATTCAAAGCAAAAATACAAGAATTTGTCTCGACCGAGATAAAATGCAAATGAATTACTCGAAGAAAATGAAATTCCCAGTAGGCCAGAAAAAAGAGAATTTCATCAAAACCTGCACTTTCCAGCAGCTAAAATTGTGTTGTTTCAAGTCTAAGAGGAGTAACAAATAAACTGAGATACAAACTTTATCGAATAGTGGCGGATAACGAGTTTTCGGGTCTAATAAAAATAATAGTTTGCTAAAAATAAGTCTAAGTCAACATCGTTTTACTTTAACTAAAATACTCAGTCCTAGTTTACTAAATTCCCAAAAATGCATATTCATTAAAAGGATCATACCTAAAAAAATAAGACCAAAATGATATTTTAGCAATTGTTGCATAAATCACATAACACCGACAAATTAAACATTGAGATTCAGTTTTAAATATACAAGTTTAAATATTATTGCCCCCAGTAATTTTCCAAATCAAACCCCGTCCCGCCATACACTTTGATTAAAATTTTTTAGTTGTTATTGTTTCATCTTTATCAGGCATTTCTAAAAACATTCTTGACGTTGTTTTGAAATTTGGCGACATAAAATAATGTAATTAATCTTCTCTAGAATATGGAAATGATACACTGTGCAGCGCACGTAAATCTTAATATTTTTCCGAACTATTTTGGCGCAAGTCTTAAAATATAATAAAGTTTATAATTCCAATGGAAAGCATTAACAATTTTTTTTTTTGTATGGTAGGTGATGCAGTCTAGTATAGTTACGGTGACCATCCGTTCTGTTTTTTGCAGGACCGTACTGTTTTTCAAAGGTCGGTCCTGCGTAGTTTTTCAAACCTGAAAAACTTGAAAATGTATTGATTTTTTCCAAGTGTCCTGCATTTGTCCCGCATTACCGGAAAGTGGAGTGGATTTTTTCAAAAAAGTGTTTTTTGGTACTTTTCGTAGCTTTTCTTCAATATCTCATGAAAAAATCTCCAAATCAACGTAAGCGACTTACAGCTCGAAGGGTATTGATGTCCCTCTTGTGGCGACTTCAATGAAAATTATTAGTGCTACAGGCGACCATTTGCATTTTGTCGTCAAAGTCGAAAAAAATGAGAGTTTCATTTGATTATTTTTTTCATTATTTTAAAAATTCGATAAAGAAGATATATCATTACAGTAAATTTTGAGTCAAAGATAATGAAAATCGGATTAGAAATGTAGATGCTATGGAGCGCAATCTGCACAAATTATATATTTTTGTAAAGGGTACTTTGTAACTCGTCGTTTACGTCGATTCATGACGGCGACTTTTGACAAATAACTGCGAAAAGTACCAAAAAACAGAAAAAGAAGGGTATTCTTTTCGTTTTGAATGACTCAAAATTTGCCTATAAAATAATCTTTTAAAGATTTTCACTTTTCGTGTAAGCTATTGTAATTATAATATGTTTTACTATATGTATTTATAAATATTCATGTAAAAAAAGATTAATATCGATGAAGAAAACGTGATTCATTGTTAAAGTTTAAAATGTATCAAGATTTTAGAACCATAAATACTCTTTTGATATTTTTATACTACGTAAATATATGTAGGTATATTTCTGAAAAATTGTCCTTCATTTTGAATCCATATTTATGGTCACCGTAAGTATAGTATTCAAAGTGTTTATTATCTTTTATTGGTATGTTATGAAATCAGATGGCGGAGAGCCAGCGAAGAACCAGTCAAGAAACGAACTTCACCACAGTGTGAAGCAAAATAGTTTGGTAGTTGAGAAGGTAAATCGTTGGTATAAGACACTAACGTTTGTTTATAACATTTTTATTCAAATTTTTCTCATACGAGAAAAAATTGAAGAGCAGAGAAATTTTAGATCAGAACGAAAATAACAACGACGCGTGTGTCAAATCCAAACAAAATATTCATTTAATCCGTAAAGCTTCTCCATATAGTAGTGTGTGTTGTTACTTTTATAATTACGAGTATTATTAACTTTTTTTTGCTCCTCGTTTTAATTTGAGCAACATAATTTTATTGACAAAATTGAATCTACATATCGCGCACCTGAAATTCAAAAAGTCCTAACTAATAAAAAATTCAGTTATTTGATTTATATGAAGGATTTCAACGAATTACAACTCTCACATAATTTAATAAAAAAAAATTAAAATTTTTAGTCATGAATTTTTCCATTTCAGTTGCGATGTTGTTACGTCTTTTTGCATTTCAGGTGACGATGTGTATGTACATATGTAAATACGGAAACTTTTAAGATATTTAAGTTAATGGATCCCGAACGAACAACGAAAAATAAGTTAGATCAATGCTTGTACATATAATATCTATATATATATATATATATGTATATGTATTTATATTTATGTAGGTATTTATTATTGGCATTATATGTCTATACATACATACGTATAATTTATACATACATATGTTCATAGGTGAAAGCAAGGGAGCGGAATTCGCCACTAGCTAACCGGCTTACAAATCTACAAAATAAATCAACCACACGCTTCGACGAAACACCAATAACAAAAGCGAAGAAGAAAGATAAGATCGAAAAATGGTGTACTCCATACAGGTAAAATCCAAATGTAAACGTCTATAATTAGGTAATTAACTTAATATTGGACATGTATGGAGGTGCACGCAATTTTTATGAGGGCCGCAAACCGCTCCAAAAAACGGTGCGATTCGGTTCAGTGGTTCGAACCACTTAGAAAAAGCGTGTACCGCTTCAAGAACCGGTTCATGAGTATTCCTGAACGGCGGTTCGATTTAGTTCAAATTGTCAAATTTTTTAATGCTAAGGGATACAAATAACACTAATCTATATATATACAAAAGGCTTTGTTATAGAGATCAAATTCAAATATCCACATTTACAGTGGTGTAAAAATAAATAGGGACGCAAAATTTTAACGATTTTGATTATATTTTTTTTTTTTTTTTTTGTTTATGTAAGGTTAAATTTTTTTAAGTAAAGTTCGTCGTCTACCAAAAACTGAATAAGTCCAAGTTTAAAGCTTTGTGCAAAAATTATGAAGATTCTTTAAGGCTGATTCACATACAACTTTCTTCGCGTTGCTTGATAGTTCTTTGCTTTGACATATAAGATCGATGTAGGCATATGCGTGAGTATGCTCACATAAAAAACGTTTGAAGCAAAACGAAGCAAAATCTTGGGCAACTCTCAACTTTTGCCCGCTTTGGCAATCAGCTGTCTACATTTGTCTATTCTTGTGCGCTTGCATTTGCATTTAATGACAAAAATAGAGTAAATAGGAATTTTTATTGCTATTATTAATGCATATTATTATATTGCGATCTATTTTACAGATAAGAAATATGGAGGAAAAGGAGAACTCAAAAGCTGTCAAAGCGTTTATTGTAGCATACCTTCTGCGTTTCGCGCTTTGTTGTCAAAGTTTGAACTGTCAAGCAAAGCGAGGAAAGTTGTATGTAAATGGCCCTTTAAGGTTTCATCTAAGTTGTACACTTTTTAATCAGGCAGATTAAGAATTTCTAGAAAAAATTGTCAAACTTTGTCAAGCTTTTTTGCTGGCGGTGTTATGCATTTTCTTCTTCACATATCTTCGCTAGTATGTTCAGTTAGACTTAATGAGATAAACTTATATATGTAGTTCGAAGTGGGTAGTATATATTTTGGAATAAAGTAATCACGTTTAAAATTTTTAGAATATGCTACGATAGGCGTTGTAGGTAACCATTACATCCGCCTAAATTTAAATTAAAATTTTTTTTTTTTATTTTTATATCTCAAATATTTATTATTAAAGTTGGAGACATTTTTATTTTCTGCATATATGGAAAATGGGTGTGTCCGTTGACGTTGACGTCATTTCTTTACGACGGCCCGTTCTATTTTTGGCCGCAATATATACCGGATCGTCACAATGTGCGCCATGTCCATCGCAGGCAGAACTTTTGCACTTTGCTATGGAGCTCTGCCAGCGTTGGGTATGCCTGGTTTACATCAAGGCTGCCCCACCCCCAAAAAATATCTATATATATACATTTGTGCCAAATACAAAGTTGGTTATCGGTCTATGGTAATAAACTTGTTGCCCAAAACACCATGCCTTCTTCCAATGAGGTTCAAGGAAAAAAGGTTGGACATCCATGCTTTATGTACTTACATAAATGTCTGATTAATGAATGTTCATATCATATTCTGATGTTATTAGAATATTATTTTTAATTAAAAAGGTAAATATCTTATCAACTATTAAAGTTGATTGAGTTCGAATATAAGAAAACCATATACATACATATTACTTTTGTATGTATGGAATACCCTAATATTTACAACTTTTCTTACAACTATGTATGTACATATGTAGTTTACAGCGATCAACCATTATCTTTATTGATTTGATATATGTATATATACATATGTACATACATACATACCTACACATGCACGCACATATTTTACGTATTTATCTGAGTTAAATTTAGAATGAGCGATATGGATTAATAATATAGGGAATTGCCATTGCGTGATCATGGTAGCTGTTAACAAAATAATTTTTCAGTTTTATGGCCGTTTGCTCAATATCTGGCTATCATTACTTCCCAGTTTAACATCATTATAGACGTTTTCGACTCATAAAACACATGTGATCGATAAAGCAGTCACTGTATTTGCGCCCTAACAGTCTAAGCGGTTTTGGCCGAGTCCAGTAAACAACGCCAGCCGTGGGCATACCATGTTGAAATTTTGCCAAGCCATCGTAGCCATCGAGATGAATATTTTTATGAGAAAAGAGAAGATTCACTGTGGAGTGTACACTGAGAAAAAAATAAATCATATCTACGGTTACCATATTCATGGATGCCGAATACGGGACAAAAAATAATTTTGCTAATTTTTTCCACAAAAATCTTAAAACCTTCTTCTATGATCCTAGATGTTTTGACACTGTAACAGCATCCTTATAGTATCATCACAAATTTGTAGTATATTTATACCTTTCATGATCATGAAATGGTATTATAACTTTGGTCCGATGTTTGTAAGTACCTGAATAAAAAGAGATAGACCCATTAAAATGTATACTTATATGATCAGACCGTCGCGACGACGCGTCGAGCTGAGTCGATTTAGCCATGTCCGTCTGTCCGTCTATCTGTCTGTCCGTCTGTTTGTATGCAATCTAGTCTCTCAGTTCTCGAGATATCCGGATAAAATTTGGTAGGTGGGTGTATTTTTATAATGTATTAATCATTTGTCTGAACCGGAAGAATCGGACCACTATAACATATAGCTCCCATACAACCGATTGTTCAGATATGAGATTCTTCGTTATAACTTCTGCAATTTCGCGCTGTTTTCACTCATTATCAACAGAAGACTTACAGTGAAAATAAGAAAGATCGGGTCACTATAACCTGCAGCCCCCATACAACTGATTGTTCAGATATGAGCTAGGCATGCAGCTAGGAACATGAAATTTCGCACCATTTTCATTCATTATTAACAGAATACTTACAGTGAAAATAACAAGGATCGGGTGACTATAACATATATGTATCTTCCATACATCTAATTGTTCAGATATTGGATTTTACTGTAAAACTCCTTTATTTGAACAGCTAAAACCGATAAATTTCGTAAGATATTTTATAAATAATAATACAAAGTCTACTGAGAAAATCGTCAAAATCTATGCTGTATAAGCTTTATCTCCTATACCACTGATTGTTCAGATACCAGTTTTTGCGATATATCTCCTTTATGTAGGAAACTAAACCCAATAAATTGTGTTGCCGGTTTATATACCGATCACATAGCAGTGAAAATCTATTAGATTGGTGCTAATATAAGGTATATCTTCCATACCTCTGATTGTTTAGATATGGTTTTTCATATATATATCTCCTCTATCTATGTATTCTGTAAATATATACATTTTTTCAAATGCAGTAATCTGTTAAAGTAAAATTTTCAGATGTTCATGAAAGGTATGAAGCCTTCGGCATAGCCGAAGACAGCGCTGCTCTTACTTGTTTTTTATAACTTCGCTCGAGAGGTTTACCCGGCAAAATTTGTTTAAAAAAATTGCTAAAGTATAGTATAATAAAGTGCAAGTTTTAAGTATGTAGCTAGGACTTACCATTAATTTTTTTCCGCCTTAAGCATTTATTCATACAAAGTAAGTTTGAGCAGCATCTTGCACTTGCATTTTATTCTTCTTCTTCTTATTTAGCGCTGTAACCGCCTAAGCGATTTTGGCCGAGTCCAATAAAGCACGCCAGTCGTTTCTCTTCTGCGCCATCTGACGCCACTTGGAAATGCCAAGTGAAGACAGAAGTCCTTCTCCACCAGGTCTTTCCATCGCAGTGGGGCGCTCCCTCTTCCTCTGCTACCACCAGCGGTTTCCGAGTTGAATACTTTCTGAGATGGAGCATCGGTGTCCATTCGAACGATATGACCAGGCCAGCGAAGCCGCTGTATGTTGATTCCCTGCACTATGTCTATATCGTTGTAAAGCTCATACAGCTCATCGTTAAATCGTCTGCGATATTCGCCATCACCAACGCGTAAAGGTCCGTAAATCTTTCGCAAAATCTTTCTCTCAGAAACTCTAAGAGCCGCTTCATCATTGGTTTTAATTATCCATGCGCCATACACCATCTTAGGCATGATGGATGAGTGACTTATAACGTGTGATTTTTGTACGAAGAGAGGACTTTACTTCTCAATTGCCTAGTTAGTCCAAAGTAGTACTTGTTGGCAAGACTGATTTTCCATTGGATTTCAAGACTTACATTATTATTGGTGTTAATGCCGGTTTCAAAATGAACCAAGTCGAAGTCAGCTCCAGCAGCTTTGGTCGTTCTCAGCCGCGTAATTGCTATTCGTACCATGCCATATTCAGGCGGTTAGACATCGACTGGGCGACTAATTTAGTAGATACATGTCCTTACCTTTGACCTTTGACCTTTAGCAAGTAAAAAGCAACCATATTATTAAAACCACAATCAAACTTTGTTTTTCTACTTTTAGAACTCCGAAACCGGTGAAACGGACCACATATATCAACACCGCTGCTCAATAAAACGTCAAGTTTTTGACAGAGAAACCGGTGAGCCTCTAAACGGCACAAAAGTAAAGATTCGTTACGTCAAACATGACAATTTTCAAATTCCCAAACAATACCTACGAGGCACCAACACCGAGGAAATCGACAAAACAATGACCAGTCTCTACGATGGCGAGTATCCTCAAATGGATATTCATGTAAAGCAGATTCCAACTGAAAACAAACCTGCAGCGAAGTGTAACAAACAATATAAAAAGGAAGATTTCATAAATATGGATGGCGTGAAAAATGTAACGTAGTTAACTAAATACATTTATGTCACATCTACTTTAAACACATTTACGTTTTGTGAACAAAAAAAAACAAAATATTCTACAGGATATTCTCTTGGGCTATAGCAAGGAGACGTATCTATTGTTTCTCATACCAACAATAATTTGCTTCAAATTCACTTTCTGGTTACTTGCGATTGAGGGATTTTTACACTACTGGGCACACAAGAAGAACTCATTGAACCCGAGCAAATTATTCTACTTCCGGAGTCCGTTGCATTTGTTGACATCTCAATTTTGCGCACTTTGTCGTTGTGAGAGTGAAATGAACATCGAAATATTTCAAACGCTAAATAAGCAAATGCGCGAAGCCAGCCAATCGAAGACCCTCAAAGATGTGAGCAAGGTTATAAGCTAAGTTTTCTGGATTTGTCTTGTCTTTTAAAGCTCAATTCTTAATAAAGTAAAAAGGTCTCGGACCATACAAATTTTTTAATTTATTCAATAGCCGTAAAAATGCCTACCAAGAGCAAAAAACCTTTATTTGCTCTTTGTGTGTTGCCAGGATATTTGTCTGGTATCGATTGCATGACAATCACGGCGCCGCTATGCTCAATGCAGACTAAAGTCACAGAGACCTTGCTTCACTGCCTGTGGTCCTATGTATATGGTAAACTACAGGCAGGCTGTAATGTTATTTGACTAAACGCACTGATCAAGTGGAGTGATACGAGATTAGTGTCCGAATAAGTCTTCAGGCGCCTGGGCGACACAGTCCCGCCCACTGGACAGAGGAATCATTTCCAAACAAGGATCTCCTCAGGGGGTTAATGTGAGGAGGATTCAGTCCTGTTCTCTTACTGCGTTAGGTAGGAAGTGGTATATGCTCACAAGAATTCCCACTTAGCCTCAGCTTCCGTCGTCTAGAGCTCTGTTGAGTTTTTCGCACTAAACTTACATGGAATCAACGAAGCTGCGAGATGGCTGATTGATTCTTCTATTGATTCGCAAGCAGTGGCTATTTTTTGTGATATACAAATCGGTGACAAATCGGTATCGGGGATTATCATGGAATATAGACGTACTTTAAATGAGCTGGCAGGGAGATACGTCTCACTCATGTTTTCTGGTGGGTGCCAGACCGTAGAGATGTACCGGGCAACTGTGTTGCAGATGAGCTGGCAAGGAAAAGCACCTTACTGTTAGCAATCAGTACTGATCGAGATTCGGGCACTCCGTTATCTTCTTGTAAGCACTGGCTGAAGAATAATTTAATACAAGATGGTCTACCCGCGTGCAGGACAGCAAGGTATAGATATATGGCCTGAGTTATTTTTTTAAGCGCGGCCGAAGGACTTATCTGCACTCGAGGTGAGCAACTGGCGCAAAGGAGAGAGTCAATTGGAAAAGCTTTTTGGTCTCTGCTCAAACCGACAAACGTTTATGACCCAACTAAAAATAAAAAGAATTGTTTCAGACTAACGCGGGTCTCTCGAGGCAGCTGAAGCTTTTCGTATACAATGGTTGAACGTCGATGATTTCCTATATGTACAGTGTCGGGTCCAGTAGTTTTTGTACATAATCCTGAATCTCGTCCTTCATTCTATAGGGATGCTATCTAACGTTCCTCAATGGAGCTTCCGTGGAGGGGGCGTAACAAGGCCTTAAGACCCTTCTCTATGGAGGATAGGAGAGTTATCGATCGATAATGCTCCCTTGTTGTAGTACGCCGCTTCAGCTGGAAAATTGGGACGGATTTTCGCTAAGCGTCCGAACGTGATAAGGCGAGATTCTGAAGCAGTGACTACCTTACTTTACTGATGCTCGCCAACGTGATTGTCTGTTAGGGTGTAACGAGCGCGGAATGTGCTCTCAGTTACTTCTGTGAAGGCGTTCCAATCATATTTGATCAAGTTGATGGTGATCTAAGTATGTCTGCGGTCGATATCTTCTTCGACGATACTGCTCATTATGGTGTAGTATTAACGCCAGCCCTTCACCATTGTTTTGCTTGCTAACCTAACGTAGCACATTATGAACGAGGTAAGTCAACAGGGTTGCTGTGTATTTGTTACTCCTTGGTAGCTAGATTGCTATGGCGAGTTGCTTAGTTGATAGGGACGTATATGGCATACTGAGCAGAAATAGATACATATGTGGGCCGGGGTTGGACTCAATGCCAGCCATGCCATTATCTAAACAGTGTTCGAACGCCGAAACAACAGCTCTTGGACGGGAAAATCCCATCCAATCCCGCTGCCTAAAAACGGCTGTCGTAGAAGTGGACGCTAGTATGCCTTTGAACATTTTATTCCTGAATTTAGTTATACTCGCAATAAATTCAACTAAATAAAAAGTTATGGAAAGCAGCCTACTTAAATCCGTGTCCATGGCTAGCCTCATTGACCTTGCCTAAGCTGTACGATTGACTGTGGCTAAACTTTGACTTAACTTTTTGGTTTTGTTTGTTGAGCCATTTCTACCAATCCCAAACTCAAATTCAATCTAAATATATTTTTAGACTTGAGTATAAGAATATATATTTTCTTTTCACATATCATTTAAGTAAAAACGAACATTTAAGAAATATTTTTTACCAACTAAAATAAATGCAATGGTATCACTTTCAAGTTTAGTTACTTTGCTTAATTCAATTCTTACAAAGTACATAATTACATTACATAAGTACATATTTACACTCAAAAACAATTAAATTACTTATTAATGTGCATGCATATCGTCGCCTGAAATGCAGTAGCACAATTTTTGCATAAAACGATGTGTGTACATACTTGTAATTCGATGAAATGCATAATAATCAATCAGTAAGAATATTTTGGATTTTTTGCTAGTTACACCCTTTTGCATCTCAGGTGACGATATTTGATTGACATAAAAAATTGAAATTTTACTCGATTTGAGCCATATTTTTAAGGTTCGAAGAAACTTCAAATTGAGCACCAGTGCAAGAACGTACGTCTTCAACTGAAAACCCATCAGCGATTTCTGTTAATGTTAAGCCAACGCCTTTTTCCACGGTAAAGACAGCCTACAAAATATAAATTCAGTTGTCCAAGCACATCATCACCATATAAATTAGTAACAAACCTTTTCCGAAATAATCATATCAACAATGCCTTGCCCAGTTAGAGGCAAAGTGCATTTGTCTAATATTTTTGGTGAACCGTCTCGCGCATTATGTTCCATTGTTATAATGACTTTTGTGCCAGGTGCTGCCACTAAATCCATGGCGCCTCCCATGCCTTTCACAAGTTTACCCTAATAGCAATTACATGTTTAATAAACACAAATATGAGACGTTTACTATTTACCGGTATCATCCAATTAGCCAAATCACCAGTAGCGGATACCTCCATAGCTCCGAGTATCGTTAAATCTACATGTCCACCACGAATCATAGCAAAACTATCGTCAGAGCCAAAGTATGCCGCTCCAGGCACAACAGTTACACTCTCTTTGCCGGCATTAATTAGATCGGGATCAACTTCCTCCTTTGTTGGGAATGGTCCCAAGCCCAATATGCCATTTTCCGATTGCAACATAACATTGATGCCTTTAGGTATATAGTTAGCAGATAGAACTGGCATTCCTATACCCAGATTGGCGTACATGCCATCACGAAATTCCAAAGCTACGCGTTTCGCAATGCGCTCCCGTAACTCCTGACCTGGACTAGATTTCGAGGCGCTGTCACTGCTTTCACGCAGCCGCAAGCGTTCCACTCTTTTGCGGTAGTTAACGCCTTTAATGATCCGATCTACATAAATTCCTGGAATATGAATTTCATCCGGATTTAATGCACCAACAGGTACAATATCTTCAACCTCAACAATAGTTGTTTTAGCAGCGCGACACATTGGTGCGTTGAAATTCCTTGCTGACTTGTTAAATACTAAAAAAATAGATTAAAATTTAATTTGTGCTACATAAAGCTGGTTTAGAGTGAAAAGTTGCTAAGTCCACTTTTTCTTAAAAAATATATATATTTGGATGCAAAATGCAAGCAAAATTAAAAATGAATCGTTTTTTAAAAACATCGAACTATCTATATTATTTCTAACCATTTGTATTCATTGATTCGCAAATTTGCCAAGTTTAAAATAGTCACAAAAAAGTGATAAGTCCCTAAGAATACAAAAACTGTTCATCAACATTGTGGAGTTTGATTCGTTTGGATTTGCTATAGCTTGGTTTAGCTTAAGTTTTCAAGGTTTTTATTCTCCCTCATAAAATAAAAAAAAAGAACTGGACGTAGCAACTTTCACACTAAGCTAACGATAAAGTTGGGATTACCGACCCAAATTTCCATAAGGATCAGCCTTATAAGCCTTTACGACTGCATAATCGGCAAAAATGGATTCCTCCATAACGTAGTCCTTTCCATTAAATGTTTGCACCTGCTTGGGCTTACTAGCAACTGCGATTTTGCCGTCTTGTGTATATTTAATTGGGGCGCCTCCTTTTTGTACAAGGGTACCGTATCCGGTGGGCGTAAAAAATGCCGGAATGCCTGCGGCGAATATATAACATTCAATTAAATTGTAAATATTTTTATGTTGTGCTTTTACCAGCGCCGCCAGCTCTAATCTTCTCGGCAATAGTTCCTTGTGGTGTCAACTCAATGGCCAGTTCACCGGCCAAGTATTGTCGGACCAGTTCCTTATTTTCGCCTACATAAGATGAAATCATCTTGCTGATTTGCTTTTTTTGTATAAGTAAACCGATACCCCAATCTTCAACGCCTGAAAAGATGAGCCAAACTTTTTACATTTTTTCAAATGTGCATTAGGGTGGTCCAATAATGTCGGAATTTTAATGCTCTCGCCCCTAGGACTCTTCTAAATCGAAAAATATATTCGAAATCAAAAAATATTTAGAGGTCGCTCAAAGTGCCTAAAGTTTATATGTAAAAAAAACAATGTTTCGTAAAATGGTATAGAATCCTTGACAATCAATATTTTTCGATTGGGCTGAAAGCATTAAAATTCCGACTTGACTTATTTTGGACCACCCTAATGTATAAATAATTTCGATATTTTATACATATGCAAATAAATAGCAGTACGAACATTTCCGCATGTTTAAGGCCTCAACCAAATTGGTATGTCGTTAGTATCCATAAATTATAGCCAAACCCTTAAAGGACTTGGGTTCATCTCATCAGTAACTATAGCGCACTCATGTGTATTCATTACCTTTTCATTTTGGGTGACCCCTCATAAATTTCCTGCTTAAAATTTTTGTAAAATATATAGGGTTGAAATATTTTACTGCATTTAATAATCCACTTACATTGAACTTCAAAATAAATTATACTATTAGTTAAGTTAGTTAAGGGTAAAGTTTTCTACAAAATATGTTACTAAATTTTACCTGAAAACGAACAAGTGTTATGTTTAAAGTCGATTTGTAAAATTACCTGCAAAAGTAAGAATTTTAACCCACTCTAAAAAAAGTTGTTATGAGGTGGATTAAAATCCAATTAAAGTTCAACTAATAGTTCATTTCGCACCAGCTCTTAACTGCTATTTACGCCTATTAAAAAAAGTAGATTACAACTGTGTATTAAGTACAAGCGAACGAAAATAAAAAACCAAAAAGTAAGAAATAACCCTTGGCGATCGATCGATCCAATTCAAAATTATTGGAGCTTACGTGAGCTCTTAACTTCGGTTAAGCTTTTGGTGGAAATGGAGTATAACACCCATGAATACTCGTACTAAAGTTTGCGTATAGGTTTGTTGAGTCCTTAAAGTTGCTATTTTACTATGTAATTTAAAACAGCGGTTCTTAAAAGAATACTGCCCGAGTAATTTCGAATACTTTACTTTACCTCAATAAAATATATGCTACTTGCCTCCATTATTTGAAACTGCAGTTATATCCTTGACACCTTTTTCTCGAAGTGCATCAATCAGCTTTTCGGGTATGCCACAGACACCAAATCCACCGAATAAAATTTTAGATCCATTTGGTATATCGGAAACGGCTGCAGCTGCACTGTCGAAAATTTTTCCTTTAGACTTGACACTAGTGGCATAGCAGGCAATGAACTAAAGTAATAAAAAATATGTATATGTGTCAGAATACAGTCATCCCAAATTAAACGTAGCAAGCTTCTGCGCGATGGCTTTCAGTCCTCCAAAGTACTCAGTACTCATAAGAGAGACTATTCTCTTGCCAAGTCATTCCGGCCGATAAGTCTCGCCTCATTTATGCTGTAAGCAATGGAGAAGATTATCGACCATGATATCAGATCTAACACTCTGAAACAGGCAGCCTTTCATCCGGATCAGCACGCGTACAGAGCGGATAGATCTACAGACAACGCTCTGTTACGCTCTCACTTCGGAAATACAGGAGGCCTTCGAGATATCGAGGGCGAGTTCGACAATACATCGCATCGACAGAGCACTGGAGAAACGTAATGTCCAACAAACTATTAGCAGATGGATAGCTATTCTGTTACATTCCAGGATTTCTGAAGCCAAAGTCGGTGACAGCGTAGTCCAATTATAAACGACAAAAGGGTGCCCGCAAGGAGGGGTGCTATTTCCTTTCCTGTTGAGCTTAGTAGAGGACGAACTTCTACAAGTACTCACTGATAAGGGCGTCCACTACCAAGGACACGCGGACGACATAGTGATTATTGCCAGAGGGAAGTTCGCAAGTACCCTCTGCCTCATCGTCCAAAGAGGACTTAACCTAGCTAAAAGGTGGTGTGCGGATGTAGGTTTGATTATCAATCCATCAAAGACAGCTATAGTCCCATTTACTAAGAAAAGGACCCTCAAGGAGATGAGGAACTTGACCTTAGAGGGGGCCACGGTCCGTGTCGGTTCAGAAGTGAAGTACCTGGGACTTATCTTGGATTCTAAACTCCTGTGGAGGACTCATGTCGAGGTGGCCACCTCCAGGGCTCTGAGAGCGCTGTTGCTGTGCAAACGTCGAGCGACTAAATTCTGGGGTTGTACTCTAAGGAATCTTAGATGGATGTACATCATGATAGTAAGACCAATAGTAACCTATTGGTCGGTGGCTTGGGCTTCCAGAACTATCCTAGCAACGGTGAGGCACATGTCCGGCGGCAGCACTGGAGGTAATGCTGGAACTTGAGCCACTGCATCTATCATTCCAACAAGCTTCAAAACAGACTCTCCTTAATTTTGCGAGATAGGGCTTTGTCAAAGATAAGGTTTTGTCAGCCAGGACCAGGGACTGTTTTCGAAATAAACTATAATACCTCTTATCATCAAAAGACAAGTTCAGGCGAGCACATTAAAGTGGTACACAGATGGCTCTAAGAATCCCGAGGGGATAGGAGCAGGTTTTTGGGGCCCCAGACTGAAGCTTTCGGTGTCCCCAGGAACCTTCCCCAGCATATTTCATGCGGAAATCTATGCCATCAATCTGTGCGCTGAGACTAACCTTCGAAGGAATTATTGAAGCGAGACGATCCTGATTTTAAGCGATAGGCGGGTGGCACTCAAGGCTCTCTTATCCTCCTAAATCAAATTATCGTTGGTTCTGAAGTGTGTAGAGAGATGAAATGCTCTGGCTAAAAATAATACCCTCCAATTTCTATGGGTACCAATGCACATGGGGGTCGAAGCTAATGAGGAAGCGGACCATCTCGCCAGAATGGCTGCCACCACGAGACCAATAGGACTGGAGTCCTTCCTCTCAATACATAAGTCCCAACACGACAAAGGAAGTGCTCTGGAAGGAAAACACCAGGCCAAGGAAACTCATTTGGCGTAATACCTTGAGACTTCGTCAATCCAAAAGCTCACTAGGAGGGTACAATTTAAAAATATACAGGATACTCAAAGGCCTCCCTAAGGAGAAACTAAGGATCATTACAATTATATTTTAATGGGCCACTACAGGTTAAGAGGGCACTTGTTGCTTTCAACTAAAAATCGCCTGAAAAATCGCATCATGTAAATTCCCTATAACCGGACAAAGCTCCGCATTTCAACCCATTTTTTTCCTTTTTCTGATGCATTTTCTGATTTTTTTGACAGGGTATAAATATGTATGTATTATGTTAATAGGGCATCCATACATACTTACTACATACTTATGTTGGTATGTACAATAACAATACACCCATGTAGATGTAAATAAATTAAAATGATTCACTCGACTTTCATTGTCATTAAATATTTCCATAGAAAATAACTTAATACTAGCGGTTTAATAATCTAATAAAACGCAAGCCCCCTAATCAGGGTTGTCACTTTGGTGAATTGTTACAAAAATTGGTAGAAAAGATTTGTATAGGTAGAAAGGTAATTTTTTTTTTACTTTTTCCAAAAGTGTAGTCTACTTTATTTCAATAAATTTCGAACACTTGAATGCACACTTTTTATATACATACACAAACATATCGCCCTCCATTCAAAACTCTTTCAAAAGCTTTTGATTCCCGATATATTTTAAAATAAACGATTTTTTTTTGGTTTTTTTTTTTGAGTCACTGTATTTTTCTATAATAAGTCCAGTTGAAGCCTTTTTTAATGATGAAGTTTCGTTCTTGTCTTTAGTTTCACCGCTTTCGCTCTTGGTTGAAGAAAACCGAGATGATGCTGTTAATCTTATCTCAAATATAATATCATTAGCTAAATGAAAAGCTCGTTGAAAAAAGATTTTAATTTTTGTCGAAATAACAAAAAAAAAGAACAAAATTATAGTTTTTATCAAAATAACTAAAAAAAATCTTAGTTGATATTTTCCAGAATTGGTAGATGTTTTTCAAATGGATGATAAATATTTTTTTTGTCAGTGGCAACCCTGCCCCCATAATTGTTTGAGAGAGCCTTGAATGCACATGGTATATATATATGCATGTACGTATGTTCTTGTGGATACATATGTACATACTTACATCGCTAGGTATGCATAAACCCTGCAGGAAATGTATCTAACTATAAGCTAACTTTAAATTGATTACGAAGGAGCTAAAAGTCACTAATTATCTGCATATTTTCTTTGACGAAAGCTAACTATGTATATTTCTATGGCGTTCGCCGCGCAATAGTCAAGGGTGTTTATCTCTGCATTAGATGTGTTCAAGGGTGTTTATCTCTGCATTTGATGTAAATAACTTGTAACTAACTACTTTTGGACATAAAATATCAATAGGAAAAATTAAATATTTTTTTTACAAAGCTCAATTATTATATTAAAAATAAAATGTTAATAAGCCACAATAACATTGACAATAAAAATATATACTTTTTTTAATTTATTTTTTATTTTTTTATTTACTTTATTTTATTACTTTTCATATTTGTCTACATATTTGCTGTAGGTGGTCCCATATTCGAACTCCGTCAGACATAACTTCAAAATGATTATATGAAATTTCGATCTTCCTTTTATTTGTCCTCAATTCGAAAAAGCATTTGCGAAGTGCAGGATATTTAAATAGAAACGCGTTTAAAGAAAACAATCTCCGGCATTACTCCTGCATTACTTGTCAACTAGTTTCAAGTTAGCTTTTTGTAGCTATATATTTTATAGAAATCCCGCAAAAAAGCTAACTACAAAGTGGGTTGTTTTTTTTATAAATTGATAATTTTTTTCTGCAGGGAACATATCGAAGAACAAATGTACATACACACATATGTAATAGATACATACATGTGTAGAACGTTTCTATGCACAAAAATAAAACACAGATGATCTGATCTAGTATTAAAAACTAGCAACAATTATTCACGGTACATACATATATGTATATATATAGGTATGTTAAGAGAAAAATATAGATTAGAAATCAAGGCATAACAAGATAGAAGTGATTTCGACATATCTCTCTTTTGAACTGTAACTGAAATGGCAGCTATACTATTCAAAATTTTTTATTATTTTTTTTTATTTAAAATTTCAATTGTGAGCTGTACGACTGATTTTAAATACATAATAAAATGAAAGGGAATTCCGGGCGGAATATTGTGTTTGGCAATAGCCAGGACAACAAACTCGTGTGTTATTTTAAACCTCTGAATTGTCAAGTGTGAGCGACAACGGTGGGCAAATTGCTGCGTTGTGTCATTAGGAGTCTCTTCACGTGTGCGTGAAAACCATTTTAGAGCCAGTGACTTTATTTGTTGCCCATCGCAGCCGAGTATTTCTAAACGGACGCGTTTGTTCCCAGGTGTAGGATTTATCATACCGAATATGAAGAGAAAATCTCCCACTCATATACATGGATAGACCAAATTTCAAATGGTGGTCTGATAAAACCTAAACCAAAATTTCTTGTTGACATAAAGAAACTGGAAGTAATTTTTAATCAAATTAAAGGAAAGCAAATTTCGAATTGCAAAAATTTAACAGCTAAATTCTTGAAGTTAGGTTCTGATGTAAATTTAAAAGAATCAAACTTTTAATTTAATGTCTAATATACTTTCGAATTAGGTATTTGAATAAAAAAATAAATGCTTAAAAACATGGGGCTAGTAAAAGCCAGAAAATTGCCTAAACGATTTTATAAATGAGTGCGTTTCATTTAGTGTGTAATTTTGTGTAAGTATGCATTTCCACATTCACATTAAAACGAAAATGCAATAACTAAAATGAAGCTGATTCTAATGAGATTTTAAATATTTTCATATTTACAAACTTTCATTTCAAAGATATTGAGTTTTATCAAATATGGTAAATGCATAACAAAGGGTTAATTTCTTTGTTTACATTTTTTGACATTAGAGTCAGCTATGGGAGAGCTCGCCTTATTAGAAATACCGGATACTCTTTTATGGCTCAGTTGCTTAAAGCGACCAGCATTGCCGTTTTGCTTAAATTTAAGCAAAATTGATTAATTTTTTCCTGCCCGTTAAAATATTAAATTTTTCTTCGTTTTGCTAAATTTTTTGCTGAAAATATTCAAGAAGGATAATTTTCCTCAAAAATTCATTTCTGACTATGAGTCAATTCTCAATCAATTTTATTTTGGGATCCCTTATAATGTTCCAGGAAATGTTGCTCTACGCAACTCCCGATCCGCGGTCGTCGCATTTTCAAACCTCCGAGAGTTCTACTGCCATGAAATCGTTTCTCATAAAAACCATTTGCAGTTCGGAGGCGACCTTAGGTCCCTTCATTTACTTGACAAGATGAACATGCACAATATGGATAACATGCATGCATTCAAAAAACTAGCAAAAGGGCAACTAGCTATTTTAGGAGTATATGTTGAAAGTGTGAAAGAGTGTGTAGGTAATAGTTTTCGAATTAAGCAACTTTTAGACTATAAAATCCTTACTATTGACGACAAAACTGAGTCATAGATTGGCTTTACTTACTAAGTTGCTTAATTTTTACGAGATTTGGGAAATTTTTTTTAATGATTTTGGTAAATTTTATTTTTTGCCGCGGCAACACTGAAAGCGACACGCGACCGAAAATACAGATAGTTTTGACAGTGGCAGATAGCATTAACATGCAAAAAAATCGAGTACCTAAATACATAGTACATACATATGTTTAGCTCAAACGCAAACAATTTATATACATATGTATGTAGTATTGTGTGTAGTTCGAGAGCATATTTAATTATTTTTCTAGCGACATTACAAATTGTCCCAATGTTAGCCGGTATTTAACCACTACAAAAATGCTCACCTTTATTGAATATTGACCACAAATCGCGTGGTTTGTCAACACGTTACGTAGCTGTTGTGCCAACATATTTTAATACAGAATTAAATCACTAGAAAATACTTTGATAAAGGACTACTATACACATTTACTGAACTAGACGATCCAAGCGTAAAATTACTACTAAATACAAGTTCCACTTGGAGCGCTAATCTATTGCGTAAAGTTTCCACTATGATCAACTTAATAATGACATATAGAGATGTGAGAAAACTATTTATGTATTTTTAATGCAGTAGTCGCGACAATGAAAACAAAGCCAATTGCTTAAACTCTAGTCTGGAAATGCTATCTTATCCTCCCATTGTTAAAACCTTTATCTTATTTAGTTTTACTACATATTGTTCCGACGACGTCATTGCTGTTGTTATTGTAGCTGTTTACTAAATCCTACCTAAATCATCTAACGGTAGCACAGGAAACGGCATCGGCCCAAAAGGAAACGAGTCAATCGACTTCTAAAAGTTTTGAAGCAATCGATACTTTTAGCTCTATCGCAAGTAGAGTTGCCGCTATAGGACAAATTTAGTTTATAATTTTCCCAAACACCAAATTCGTTTAATTGTACTCGGTAAACATTCTAAGTGGGAACGGCGCTTTGCTTTATTTCTCGTTAAACAGAAAATGATTTTTTAAATCAGCGCGCTTACGGGTTTGCTTTCGAATATTCAGTAAAATTGTAATATTTCAAGATAACGTTATATACAATTTACTTAATTTTATTCTTAGTCATTATTTGTATTTGCAATTAAGAACTTGAAATGAAGAATATCAGCATAAATTGTTAAGTTACTCTTTAACACCTTATCAGAGCTGTCAGCTGGGTAAAATTTGATTCAGTAAAATGCGAGTTTTACTAAAACAAAATAACCGGCAGAAGTTAACGTATACTGAACTACAACATTAGTACTACTGGCACGAGGAAGACGAAATTATAAAAATTAACTCACTAAATGGGGAAAAGTACATTTAAACGAAATAATATTCACTTAAGCAAGTATTTAACGTAAAGGCAATGGCCCGTAGTCATGGTTAAAATAAAGTCGACTTTAAAGTTAGTTGCAGCTTTTTGACATAATTTTCAATGGGATATCTGTCAAAAAAGCTGCAACTAACTTTAAAGTCGACTTTATTTTGACTATGACTACGGGCCAATTTATTTAAAGCAAGTTAAAATAAGCAATGGAAGAATATCTGTTTGTGTATACATTTGAGCGATTCACAACGGTGTCGTAAGTGTCGTATTGTTGGATGTCGTCAACTTTAAAAGCTTAAATAAATGTTTAGAGAACTTGAAACCACAACCAACTATTTTTTAACATCGCGAAAATGCATAACAGGAAAAGTTTACGACCTACAACAATACGACACTTACGAAACCGTTGTGAATACCACAATTCATTTGTCAGTGCTACCAAACCGTACTGCCAAATTATCAGTGACACAAACCAAAGAGAGCGGACTTTAAATTGAACCAGATCTCTCTCAGGATCATATCGTTGTTGTTGCATTTGCGTGCAAATTTTTTTCCGGATCCCGATCATTGCCTAAGAAAACACAGCTATTACTGAGCCCTAAATTTATGCGATTGCGGTTGTGAGAAAAAGATTTGATTTACTAACAGAAAGTTCTTAAACTAAAAAACTTCTTTTGGTTCACGACTGCGGCCTTTAACAAAATAACTTACTTCACTTTAGAATGTGTCTTGAGAAATATTGGAAAAAACGTATATTGGGCCACAATTCCCATATTTTATGTCTTTTTCTTCTTCAGCTACTTATCCATTTGCTGGATGTTCGCGATTACATACATACAATACGTTTTAGTTTATAGTTTTGATTATCATATCAAATTCGTCTCTGTTTTTCGCTTTGAACATCATTTCTCCGATTGTTTTCAAGCCTGTCCATTCTCTTATGTTATCCAACCACGTATTTTATTTATTGGTCATTATTTATATAATTCACTACTCCAAAATATCTGAACCGATTTTGAAATAATAGTTATCGATAGAAGTTTGTGCGAACTGTATGTATTGAGTTGATCTGGTAACACGTTATGAAGATGAAGTGAAATTGCACTGTGCATGTCAAAACATTTTTGGTTGCATTGTTCAAGGAATTTAATATTCAAACTAGTAAAAAAAAGGTGTTTAGAAGGTATTAACTATATAAATTGTGTAATAAGACTAGTGGAGTATAGAGGAACTGCAGATTTGCAAATATTTGGCCCACAAAGGAACTTGGATCAGCGATGCAGCTGGATGTGTAGTTTGTATAAAAGCGGCAGTATTTGCGTAAAAATACTTTATTTCACAGCAATAACAGTTTTAAAATACAATTACATTCACTTGTGGATTAAAAGGGCTACTACGCATTATATGTTGATGGGATTGTTGGCTATGCACTGCTGATTTCCACTAATTGGACTTGTTTATGTTTTGCTTTTAATCTAGAGTTGCCAAGATTGTAACGGATAAAAATATGCTTTCAAACTAATTTTTTAGACATTTTATTTGACATAAAAAATATATAAGCCCTATGACTAATTTTTTACTAAATATATAAATAATTAAGAGTGCATTCTTGATCTTACAATAGAGGATTTTGCTATGCATAGAAATACATATAGCTAGCTTAGAGTGAAAAGTTGCTAAGTCTACTTTTTATGTAAACTCATACACAGCAGGCTAGAGAAATTAAAAATGCATATTTTCGAAAAGTGCAAAGATCGTTGTTTTATGTTTTCTCGTTTATATTCAATGAAAAGAAAATTTGCTAAGTCCAAACAAAGCTCCGAAAATTCGATAAAGCCAAAATAGTAGGAAATATTTTAATAAAAAGCAAATCCCTCTTGTTTATATGGGACTTGATTTTGCCTTCAGCAGACAAAATGTTGTATTCAAAGTTTTGCGAAATACATACTTGAAGAAAATGGCTATAAGAAGTTGTTTTCTCTCTTGTTCAATTTTAAAATTAGGGCTTAACCACTTTTCACTCTAAGCTAGCGATATATTCTGCCTTATCACCTTCACCGAAAAATTTGATTCTGCCCATAGTAAATACATGGAAACCAAAAGAGAAAAGTGAACCGGTTTGGGAAAAATGAAACTCCTGATAAGGCCGATTGATGCTCATTTACGACACTACATTTAATTATAGTGCCGCAATAACCCTCGCTTAGAGCGCCTAGTCGATAAGAACGCTTTCACCCATGAAGTGATTAATCTCCGGCTTAAAAAATATTGATGCAACAGTTAGTTTTTGATTAAATAGCTATTATTGACATTCGATTTGTCAACAAGTGCAGATACATACCCTAAAGCTTTAGTTTAAAATAAATGAGAGATTCATTTTTAATACAACGAATTTTCACTCCGAAATATAGCTAAACAGATTAAGTCCATGCATATAAATTTGTATGCACATATAGTATGCTTGTATGAAAACTTGCAAGTAGGCATATCGATGATATTCTGCAATACTCCTTACTTAAGCTAGTAGTAATGATTATTAAAGTAAGTATTAAAGATTATACAAGAATTAGAGACATGATGCCCTTAATAGTAGTAAGGGTTTTGCTTTTTGAGTTATGTTGTTATTGCAGAGGATCATCGATTTGTACATAGGTACATACAAATATATGTGCATATGTATATTTGCGATCATAATTCAAATATATTAATATGGCCACAGTTTCTTTGTAGCAATAACACTTTATTTCGTCTGCTATTTTCAGTCACTGATGCAGTTGGTCACTGATTAGCACTCTACAGCGGTGTGAACTCATGCCAATAAACATCCGAAGCAATATACCTGCAACAAGTCTGAAACGTTATTCCTTTATTTCCTGATTTGATGTAATTTTGCCGAATAATGCAGCAGGAGGCCATGGAGGCGGAGGGCTCTACTTATATGCTGGTAGAAACATTGAGTGTTATTTGGAAAAATTATCTTAGTACCGGCGATGACCGCAAAGCTAAAGTGCGTTTAATACATACTTGTTGCTTACTTAGTGTCGATAAAGTTTTTCTTATTTGTTTTAGTTACATTGGATGGAATTATTTCTGTTTTATTTTCAATACGTTGAAGAAGATGCTTTACAGTCAGAAGTACTTATAAGGTAAATGCAGTTATGTTTATAATAAGAATTGCGATGAGAAAATTTTTCTTAAATGATATGTTCTAAAATTATAAATGTGGGAATTTGTCTGTAATTTTAAAATATTAACCCGATGCTTTTTGCATGATTGAAATCCTTTAACTCTCTTCTTATTTCAGTTTGTTAAATAATATTCCAGAAGAAACAACCTCATATCTCTTGGAGACAGTGTGCTGCATCATAAATAAGTCTCACTTATCAATTTCTTCATGTACAGCAGAAAGCAATAGTACTGACCTAGTACAAGATGAGATAAGCAAACTCAAAAGCGATGTGAATTCCTTTCCGAACAATAAAAGTTTTACACCGGTAACGTTTGTACTAATTATCTTTAAGGTTGTAATATAATTACTAAAATGATTCCTTTTTTTAAAGCTCATACTAAATGCACCGAGTGACTGGAGTAAAATAGTTGCCCTTCGCAGCTTTCTTACACACAGTTTGGGTAAACATTTGCTTCGATTTTTATTGCGTGTGGATACCAAGGTAATAACTTTAATTTGAACAACCAAGCAATTTTTTAACTAGAACAATTTCTACAGCTCATCGCTTCACAAAAAGGCCTTTGCACTTTATGTATCAAACTGTTCCCGAATTGTAAATGGAACACAGCAGAAATTAAACTAGACTCTTCCCCCTCCATATTAACAGTCATCGCTAAGATTTCTCCATTTCAGTGCCCAAACTTGCGAATTAATCGTACTACTACAAAGAAATCACAATTTGAATCACTTTCATCTCCACAAATTGAGAAGGAACTTGATGGTTTTAGAAGCAGTATTGCTAGCAGTGATGAAATCGCTTTCTTGGTGATACAACTAATGTCAAAGTGCGTTTCAAATGAATGTGAGGATAATCTTAATCCCCAATCAATATCAGTGCTTTCATTAAATTTTGCATTGGAATGCTTATGTGGCAGTGATGAGATGTATAACACAGAGCAAAATGCCGGCAAAATTAAGTATGAACTTCTGCAACTTATAATACGCTGCATCAACAATATATTTAATGCTTCTTCCGGTTTAACCGCTGTACAATTTCAAAACGTATTCTCAAAGTTAGCCACCATCTTACAAAAACATGCTATAGAAGTCGTAAACCCAAAGTCTGGAAATTTTGACGATATCAGAGAGTCTGCTTCAATTAATTTTACCGTTGAATTTCTAAGTGCGACCAACTATGTACTGTTTTACATCCTCCAAAATATCATAAGTCACCTACACAAATTGAAAAAACCGTATCATGATTTGGGTAGCAAAAGCAGCTTGAATGATTTTAAGTTCGTTGATGAAAATGTGATTGATGTAAGCATTGAAACATTCCAAAATGTGTTACAAAACCTAAACACCTATACTGTTGGAGATGCCGAAGCGTCAGTGCTCCTTATGCTGACCTTCAAAGCACTTATTAAAATAATAGATCACCTTTTCAAGAATGATCAACTCGTTATGAACAATTCTATTCACCCAATCGGTGGTCACGCACGCAGAAGGCGCCACCTTTTTCGGCAGGTACATTGCTGGTCGTCACAAGCACCAACATTAAGCTGCTTCTTTCAAGGCACTTTACTAAATTTGCTCTCTAAAATCTCTCTAGATATGCAAGAGTACGCTGTACGTTATTTATTACGTATTGGTATTTGCTGCTGCCACTACACAATAAATACCTATGCCACATGCTTGGATATAGTTCTAGCTTTAGCTCCGAAATATCAAAATTACATTTATAAATTTTTGCATCGTAAAATACTCTGCACTATTTTTTCTCATGGTGGTCTCAATAAACATCAAGCAGAAAACTGTGCTAAATGTGATACAAAATTAAAATCGCCAGAGTTTCGAAAGGAAGTTTTGCAGCTCTACAAACAACTTCATGAAAAACTCGTTAATGGTAATGAAGAAATCTGCAATAAATTGACTGCACTTCAACTTTTGCTGAAGCATTTAAAATGCATATCAGATACTTTGAACAGCGACATTGCTGCAGGTATTCTGGCCGAACTTATTTTACCAGCGTTCCGTAAATTTAAATCGGATATACTGAAAAGCGGAAGGCAATCCATGAACAGAAACTCACCTATCACTGCGTCAGCCGATAAAAACGATGAAACACCAGATACCACATTGATTTGTTTCGGTATTGTACAAGATTGTTTGAATATTTTCGTTGCCTATTTGGAAATAGATATACGTTTAATAAAAGCTTTCTACAACGAAGAAAATATATCACATTTAGAGGATTTGTTTGGCGAACCGACACTAGTTCATAGCATATGCGACCTCATTAAAATCGGCATCGATAATATGGCATTTTTGGGGGAAAGCAGTAAAGAACAAACTGTGTTAAGCCAACGTCTCATTATGCTGCTATTGAAAAGTGGTAGAGAGCACGCTTTGCAGTTCAATGCACTACTCGACTATTCAAATAACTCAGCTGCTAGCAAAGATAAGAAGGCAGAAGAACCAGACATATCACGTGCGCCCGATATTTTGTATGCTGCCGCCTTACAGTGGTCATTTACATATGAGCTATTCCAAACAAGTCAGTGCTTCTTTAACGCCTTTTCGGCGATATATAATTTAAATAAAAATCAAGGTATGCCCATTGACCACGATGATTCAAAGCCGCAATGTACAAGTGAACAGGATTGCTCACCAAATGCACTTTGTAACGACAAGGGGATTGACGACATTTTGACGCTAAACTATAATGCATTGTGCACTTTTTTACAACTTTCACAACGAAAATCTACGATTGCCTCTAAACCCACACGCCCACATTATAACATCAATACATCAACATCACCCCCAATACAAAGCCCAATGTACACAGTAGACCCCGAAGCCAACAAAGAAGACTGTTGTTTGTCAAGTTCACTGGAAACTTTGCTCTCAAGCATTGAGGTAGATGCGATGCAACAAACGGTAGACTCAGTTAGTTTATCGATTGCATCGAATGCGACAACAATTGCCGGTTTAAACACTTCATCGTTACATGAAATCCAACGCTTGCCGAAGGGTGATAGCACTTCTCAAATAAGTTTGCATTTATATACAGAAGCTTTCAATTTATCATTTTTGGATACACTAAAACACCATAAATCAATTCACTTTGAAGATTTGTATGCAACTGAGACGGAGATTGAAGATAACATTGTAATTTACGACGTTCGCAACCAGGTCAGTTCACATGCTGTTCACAATTCAGCATTATCCATAACCTCAGCGACGTTAAACGCTTCCAGTGTGGGCACCACACTAGCCAACACAACTGTGTGGAACTGTGCCGCCGATGCGCTTTCAACATCAACGGTGGTAGTTGGGCCAGAAACTCGCGCAGCGGTACTAAATATTGGGACAAGCATAATCGGGAAATTATTTAGTGTTATAGGTTCGATTTTTGGTGGCGCTAGTTATGCAAATTCAGTAAGCGATTTAAATAACAGTACAAAAGAAGAGTGCCTAGATGAAGGCATCGATCCGATACTTATTTGCTTATTAGAATCTAGTAGCGATAGCAAAAGGTATCTTCTACGATTATTCGAAGCAACATTGGCAATAGCAATTAAAAGTTTTAAACAAGAAGGAGGTAAGTAACATTTTATTAGACTCCCTGATAGTTAAATTTATATCAAAGCATCAAAGTAGGCCTTTGATCTAGCTAAGCTGTTATTAAAATAGTATATAGCTAATTACGCGTAAAAATGCTGCTCGAAAAAATAAGTTTTGACCCCCCGCAAAAAACGACTGCTTTCGATTTGAAACCTCTCATTAGGAAACTCGGAGTCATCGTAGTTTGTGTACCATCGTCGCTCTTTCAAGTACTACGCATCTAGTGTATCAAATGCCAGTACCCTCAAGAATTGGCGAAACTCATTCATACTATGCATCATATGAATTATTGAGGTCTGCCCAAATTTCCGTGTGAAAGAACACAACAAGAAAACCCTATTTCCTTTTTCGCGAACACCATAGCCACTTGCAGAAAGCTTTGTGCGAGAATGAAGGTCCTCAAGCCGTAGTTAGAAACTATATTCTCGGAGTTACAACATACCAGAACACTCAACAAACATCCACTGAGACATTGTGCGAGTCAGCCTTATCCGGAACTGCCTAGATTTGTATCTGGCTAAGGATTGTAACTCCAGCAGCATGCTCCAAAAATCTTTGTGAAATTTATATGCTGTTAAAACAAAGTAAAGCTTTGCGGACGCTTTCCACCAATCAGCGTGGAGTGGATGGATCTTCTACGAGATACGAGGTACAGTTAGCCAAAATATGTTCGTGTTGGAGTAAGCGCCAGAAACAAGCTATCGCTCCCTCCTACCAAAGTTGGTAGCATATCATCTATCTTCGTATGCTTATCCAACTCTTCGGCCCTAACTGCAGGTGCCTAATGATCAGTGAGGCGCCTTGTTCTCAGACTCTCTGATACGGATGTAGAAGATGAGAACTACTGAGAATCCTAGTCCCAGTCAAGTGCCACCATTGCTGCTTATGTAAAAACAACAACCGACTTTTGTTAGAACGTATGGCTTTGTTTTCCTACCGGGTAATTATTTGTGGTTTCAAATATGGTAATAGCTCATGCCTACATCCAGGCATATATACGTAAAATGTACTATGCATGCTTACATACATATGTCTGCAATAGTAAGAATGTTTTGAAGCCATATTAGTGATTGCTACGACTAATTCGACAAAAATTATGTTTATAGCCCAATGCTTAGAACTTGAGCTGAGTACCATATTTTTATAGGGAGATACTTTATTTGCATTCCTTGTTCAATAAATCTCAAAAAAA